ACAATCGAATATGTGATTGAGCAATCCGGTGTTTACGACAAGATCCACAATTGCGGAATTAACCATTGATGTCTAAGGTTGATGATCGAAGATGCTACAATGTGTGTGCACTCTCGTCCACTTTAAATGGATCCAATTGTGCGTGGGCGGTGATAGCACCACACCCAGATGATCGATTTGATGGGACCGCATTTACATAAACACCCTGCACAGCACCCTCGGGACATGGACAGATACGCGAGCATGAAATTCTACCTCACACTCACCGTCCTCCTCCTGATCGCTTTCGCCGGTGTCAACGGACGTGAGTTCGTGATGCTTAATTCCATTCGTAGTAATACTTGGCTTTGCTTATCAGCGACGCTATGTAGGCTGTTTGTGGTACGCACTGGCGTGCTCGAATTTCGTTAGCAACGTGCCACGCCAACAACAATGTTTGGCTTTGCCGAAACACCTCATTAGGCATGAAATTAGGATGCAAGATCTAGTAAGTAATGATTAGGTAATATGGAATGCACGTTGTTCATACGGCCCGTGTAGGTCAACGTAGCTTCAGCTATAGCCGTAAGAGTACCTTATTAAAGCGGCATTTTATCAAACCATGGGGGACTGCAGTGTCAAATAATGCTTATTTTGCATTGCAGAAAGCAAAGACGAAGGTGAATTGGGCGTTGAAGGAGCTGTTTTCCTTCGACCAAGTAGAAGATGCTTTCGGAGAGGTCACATCTGTTGGTACGGATGGCAATGCTGCAGTGGAGACTGCATGTGGTACCGTTTGTGCCGATAAGCTGCTGATGCCATGAATCCAAAACCATCTTCATTTTAATTTACTAACTACATTCATGATTCTGTGTCACATTAATCCTCTGTCTTCTGTTAGTGGTTGTCTATGTGAGTAAATGCGTGACCTTGACAACAGACTGTGAAGAGTAGTCTGAAGGAAGGCAAAGTAAGCATCAGTGGAATCGGTTTGGCCATGACAGCAATAACTGAATACAAAAAATGGCTTGCGGGAGGAAAGGTGGGCGCGTTGTATCATATACGCGATCTAGCAAGTCTACGTTTATTGTGGGGTTTGACAATGTCCTGGCGGAATCTTTGGTTTGCGTGCTGCACATTTGAGAATCTAGGTACATAAACGTGATCATCACGATTCCCGACTAGTGAGTGTGCAGGGGCAAGCAACCATGGGAAGTGCTTATGCTCAAACTGACGATAAGGACCACGAATTCACGAGATTCACCACAGTCCTTCTTCTTACGCTCGATTGGATTCGACACTGGTAGTTTTACTTAGGTCACCTAACATTGAAGAGCGAACCATTTAGAAATGCCTCATTTCTCTCAACACGTGCGCGCATTTGTTCACCACCGTCGCCACGGTTGCATTTTATACATAAGTGCAAATGCACGCAAGGAAATTCGTGAATTTGAAATATCCAACAGCATTCGCCACATGGTAACCACATGGCGCAACACCTGAAATTAATGAACGGCCGAATTAGTCACCTTCCAATCTCCAAAATTGTCCTCGCGGTGACAACTTTTTATGCTGGAACGACCACAGCTGCAAGAATTGAACGCCTTCCATTCAAAGTCGTCCCAGTCCATGACCTCTCCTGAGGCAGGTCAATCGATTTTGAACCACCTGCGCAGGAGTCTGGGCATTCAGTTATTTATACTTTTACCGCGTTGCCATGGCTGTATAGATGGAAAGCACGGCCAGCACCTACGCCATTACAATGAACTCATATCAGCTTCCGCAAAATTGCACAACAAATTGCATCCATAACACCTCACGTCACGTAGTGGCATTTGTCATACTCGAAACATGTCATTATGATGCGTGACACGTCTTGAGTGTGCCTTACTAACCCCACCGATTCTCTTCTTTGTTAACACATCTGTCACATACGCGCATATCACTTCAGGCATGCCAACCATACAAAGTGAACAAGGCCATCGTCCCAAAATATATCCAAATGACTACGAATACCGCTCATGCAATTGACCCCTCAATCATTCTAAATCATCACATTGAACATAACGCCAACTCACACAACTAACACCGCATCAATTCTGTCGGATAACACTGACGCTCGCTTCATTCAAACAACTCCACACAACTTGATTTTCTATTAATCAAGCAGTTAATTATTTAACACAAAACATCACACACAACCAACAACACAGATTAAAACACACACGCATACCATCTTCACTTTCACCTTTGAAACTGTAAGCCTACATTGCACTGACCACAACCCCTGTGCATTCTTACATTTTAGCCTAAAATTTACAGTCGCAACAGACTTGCAACCTAACCAAAATTATAATTGACAGGCAACAAATTATCCATCGTCTGCATCATAAGGATTTAAATGCTCCTCTCAAAAGAGATACACAAGGAACATTAAAAATTTCAATTGACAAATAAACTCAATTTCACCAATTCAAATACCGCGTCAACAAACACACGGCAACGTAAACATTAACGCATACTTAAATGTTCATGTACTTGCAAATTAGCTGATATGCTACATTTAAATATGGCAATAATCATGTCATTGTTTAACACATCAAGTGTCGAAATTTCCTGTTAAAACTCA